TAGTCGCTAGTAGCCAACTTTGAGAGTGACGTGTTTCACTCGCCACGAGTTGGTAGCGTGTATGCCGCCATCCCCAGTCGTATGGAATATGTGTTAATAATTAAACAGCTGATTGATGTATTGTTATTTTTAACAGCGCAAATATTAACACAAAACTGTACCAGCCGCTACAACTCGTATTCTATGTGTGAACTCAGATTAAAGGCCTATTTGGCTGGCAAATAGTAGCTGCGACTAATAGTAGCGGTGACTAAGTCACGGCGAGTTAGTTGCCATGTGTGTATTTAAGGGGTTAAAAAGTTATGGATACAATTTTAAAAGTCACATACAGACAGACAGAATTTTAGACCCATGTTTACATGATGATTTTTATTGTTTTGACAGATGGTGGGTAAAATAAATGGAGTATTCATTAAACCATAGATAAAACATACTCCCTTAGTAGATTTCTCATCCTTATGGAACAGCTGAAGACAATTTTATTGTTAGTTCTGTACGGTTTTGTGTAGAGGTCGTGTTTTGTTTACAACTTTTTCCCGTTATTACAGCCATTTAAAACCTCGTTTAACCAAATAATACGATATAATCATAAACAATAACCTGTCCCCTAGCTATATAACCAAACAGTAAAGCACAAATCAAGAAATTAACTCTAAAATAATAGAAACAAAGTTTCGTCGACACTAGCGCCCATGTATCACGTACATGAACTAGACACGAAAAACGTGCTTCAAAATTAACAATGGGATGAGAAGTCTACTTGTGTTGGTTAGTCTATGATTAAACTTTAACAATTTAAAATATGTACCATCTTAATCTTTTATACCTATATTTTTTTTCAATTTTTTTAAATAACATAAAACATTCTTAATATGGGTCAGTTAAACTTAATTACCATTGACTTTCCTACACTGCACGTAATGTTCTTATTTTACTGTAAAATAATAAAGCCTCTTTCATGTATTTTTCATATTGATGTTGTTTATCAGGAGGATTGAATGTGCTGATGTTTAAAAAATACCAGAAGAAAAGAAAAAGATAATTAATCGTTTTATTTTGTTAAAATAATTTTCAAAGTTTGTTAAATGGCAACAATTTAATAATAAACAACAAAACGCTCTTTACATGTAACAACCTGTAACCGAATTTAGAAAAATTATCTTCATCTGATCCAAATAAGGATGATAAATATACAAGGGATTATGTCTATATTTAATTAATTGTTAGCGAAGACACTTTACTCATCCTGTCATATTTCTCTTAACCTTTTTAAATTATATTCTACTGACAGAGGTTAATTATTTTTCTTAATCAAGCTTGAACAGATTTGGTTCTCTGAATGGTCAAGGTCAATAATTAATTTCCTTACACATAGCTATCAGTGATGATACAAATAATGAGATGACATTTGTTTAAACAGACTACTCTTTGATAAACTCTATGTTAGTCGTTGCTTTGAGTGTGATTGGAGACAGGTTGACATTTTGAAGTTAGTAATTTTTGTGTTCTTGTTAAAATGCCATTTTTTGGTTCTTCCAGACCACTTTTCAGGGATGAGTGGATTGAATACTCCAAAAATGAAAGGGACAAGTTACTTGGTAAGAGGAACTTTCTAAACACATTGGATACAATATATTCAAGCAAGCGGTCTATGCGTGATTGCATGGATTTTTGTTAGTTAATTGGGCTAAGCTAATTTTAATGGCTATAGAAAATAATTCAAATTTAAAACAATTTACAAAATTTATCTAGGTTCACTTTATATTTTTTTTAGCTTTTATATAACTTAAATACTAAGTCTAGCACCCGTTTGCCATGGATTTATTTGTATGCGGTGCCACTTTTATAAATGGGCTTTAGGAGATTTAAGCTTTTTAGGGGTGCAAGGAAGGGGGGAAAAATTCCCCCATAATGAAGGATGAGAGGAGCGCAACTATCTCTCGGGCCCATAGCGCATCACATGCAAACCGCAGTCCTGCGCTGGTATGGAATCAAATTTTACCATAATGAACTAAACATTACCTACTTTATTTACTCTCTAGTTATTAATCTAGTATACCGTAACAGCTGACAGGCACAAAAAACACATTTACTCATCTACAAATTTAGTACTTTTTTTATCAGAATTTATTTTACAATTTTTTTTTACATCCTTATATATAATACGTGAAGGCGATTTCTACGAAACACTACTCCTCCGTTAACAATAGACGGATTTTTACAAACGACGTGTCAAAATAAAGTATTTTTTGTTTAGACGCCCCCTTTCACCAATTCCTGTAATAAAAATACTCGGGCTTTGCCCCACAGGCCATCAAAGTTGGAGTTTGTCCCATAAGATTAACATGGGGGAATCTAAATATTTAATTGGAAACTTTGTCCCCACCAATTTGAGGGAACGGCTGGGCGTAGAAACTTGGTAGAGGTGTCCAAAGAAAGGTCTTGGTCTGTAGACGAGTTATCAAAAGAAAAACTAAGCAAAATCTCTTAGAAATCTGTCCCAGAAGCCTTTAAAGATCCCTCCACAGAGTTGTTTACATTTTGGCCACGTGGATAATATTTTTTAATGAAACAGCTGTTCATTTTTAAATTGTATTTCAAACAACATACATTTATTGGGAGTTACTGAATTCTACCAAATAAGTATTTGCAATGTTATTTTCAGATTTTAAAATTGATTTTCTTCTTTACGAGGTGTTAGCCCGTCCTACGTACGGGAATTCAGTAGTCAGTTAAAACCGTGTACAATTCAGATCAGCTAGTTTTATTTAATTTACAATCTGTTTAACAAAAATGAACAATAAGCAAATATGATCAAATTTAAATACAGTAGTTGTTATTCTTTATCCAACAATAAAGCCAACACACACACTTTGCGTATTTGGTACAAAGTTTAAGTCCATAAAATTCCTAAAACGACAACTTAAACATGGCATCTTTTCAATCTATATACACAGTTGCTGTTGTCCAATAAATTTAAAGCAATCTGTTCATAAGAATATAAGAACAATAAGTTAAATATGTTAATATGTTTTAAAAAAATTGGCCGGGAGCAAGTGTTTAATTTAATCCATTAAAAACACTTTAATGTTCTCTGGATATCTCATAACAACCCCCAAACTCAACAACCACAAACTCGACAACCTCTTGGTCCACAAATTGTCCAGTTATTGAGGTTTTATTGTAGTTTCAAGTGTTTCCAGTGAAAATAGAGTAGGAGTGATAATTCATCTTAAACTTGAATAGAAATAAGGGCTTATTGCTTGAGAATTAAGAAGACAAAGGCTTAATTAAATGAGGGAATTAAGAATAAGTAGGCTTACCTTTAGAAATGTAGGCCCCACTTCACAACAGTAACACAGAACACGGAAGAAAAAACAAAAGAAACACTGGATATTTCGGGGCCACTGGTCTGTGCGACCGCAATACATCTTAACTATTTCGCCGTTAACGTTAAAGTTGTCACTAATTATCCGCAATTGCTGAAGATGTCCAGGATTTTATCGCAACCGATAAGTCGAAGATCATGTTCCTGCAAACTCGGAAGATCTTCACGATTTTGTCATGATATAAGGAGACAAAGACGATGTCTCCACGCTCGCGCAAGATGTTAACTAATTCTCCGCGACCCCATGATTCAATCGTTCATGATTCCGCCATGAACAGAGGAGACGAATATGACATCTCTGCCCTCACATAAGATGTTAACTATTTGTCCATGGCCATAGGAGACATTATATTGACTTCTCTGCGATCGCAGAAGACAAAGATGATGACTTCGCGATCGCAGAAGATGTCCGACGATTATACTGTGTGCAAAGAAGACGCTTACAGTTTTGCAGCGATTACAGATTGTTATAAACCGATTATAGTATATCAATTAATATATTTTAAATTAATTATTTCCAAAACTACCCGATTTTGATAATTTGCCAAAAGGTAAACATTTTTGACTCAACCCGAAAGAAATTAAAAATGTCTGGCCCTGACCTAAGACCCCAAAATTATTAAAAAAAAATTATATACTTATTTATTAGCTAAGTCTTTTTGCTGATCGGATATTTGAAAACAAAAGGTCCATTCATTGAGTTAAAGCCATACCCTATTACCAAATCCTTTAGTTCCAAACTTTGAAAAATCAGAATATAGAGAGGCCTCTCTGGTGAGAGCTGTCAGGGGCCTCATCGATTCTAAATACGGCCCTGTTTCTGGGTGATATATACTAAGTTAAAAACATTTACCGTACTTAAAACATAAGCTTACTTTAACAGTTTTGTCTTCATTTGTTTCAGCAGTTGATTAAAAAGTATAAATACAATATCTTATGTTTAAGTAAACTTTTATTGTTAGCTACATTGTTAACTTCAGACCCACCAGCTGAGCTGTGTGATTTCAAACACCACAACTAGATATTTTGCAGATTTTTGGTGACACTACTTGGGAGTATTGCAGAAAAGGATAATCCAAATTTTCAGGCTAAATGTTCATGTCGTGTATCTTATTATCATAATCTAAATGTAACATTATCATATTAAGACATTTTGTATTACAACTGTCATATAAAAATCTATTAGACTGCCAATAATTTGCTTCAATTACAGTATTTTCGTTGTAGGAAGTGCACCTAGTCAAATAACTCTTAATGCAGCCGAAAATAATACATTTCCCTATTATTTCCATTGTGTAAACACTAGGCAATAGACAATACAGTATAATACCTTATAGACTTTCAAATTCCGCGCCAACACGTAAAAATGTTAACCCTAATAGTAATAGTAGATGTGAAATATTTTTCGTCATTCGATCACAGCTCCAGCTTCTATGCTTTTTTAAAGTATTTGTGACCTCTATGGCGTAGGTTTTAAAACAGACAGATGGCTGGATGGCTCGTTAAGAATAGAATTTGAAAAGCTGTCTGCTAGGGTTTTCTCTTTCATTCTTCATTTCATAGTAGTTCTGCGTCTGCACTAATAATCAAGGTTAGGTTGGCCAGTCCACAAATAATTTAATATCGTTCATTATCTTATTAAAGTTATACTTTTAAACATTGTTCAATGAACGGAACTTTAGTGGAATAAAGTGAAATGATTTGACCAAGATTGTCTTTGAATAATTTGTAATGTGGATTGGATGCTAGCTTATGTAAACAAGCAAGGGGCATAAACAAATAAGCAGCTGGCGGTAAAATTATGGTTTCAAAGAACTAAAGATGATCATCATCGATGACATTAATTCCCACCCTTTGTTAATCAGGCAAGGTAAGTGCAAATTTATCTACGTTAATATATTATCGAATTTCCCTAGGGAAGAAGCTATTATATTACCGTAGGAGGCATGGTAATGGGACAGATTTACCTTTTCAATTTTGATGTCCCCAGATGCCAAAAACACTATCTCAAAATGTTTTAAAATAGATTTATACATTTTTTGTCCGTAAACGCGATGAGTTGAGTAATTTTTGTCCAGTTTTGATGAAATTTGGTTTGAGGGTGTAAGGCAGGATAAACTAGAATCAGTTGGCGAACAAGCAGGATCGCACCATAGGAATGGGGTTTTATGGGGAAAAGTTGGTTTTTCCCATTTTTGGCCCTCAAACCACAACATTTCCCAATTTATCTCTAGATGATTTTAAAGAGCTTAAAAACAAATATCGGTAGGATATCAAAGTGTTTTTGTACAGTTACGGTAATTTGGTTACAGAGGAAATAACAAAAATTGTAAATTTAATTTCCGTAATTTTTACTTATCCGAAGAATATTGTAAAATGTAGTTTGCCTGTTTATGGATAGAATAGTTTTCTTCATCCAATTATGAAAAGGTATCTAAAAAGTGAGGGAAGTGATGCATGAGTGTGGACAGCTTCATGCAAAATTTCATGCAATAACGCCTGCGTTGATGAATGTTAAATTGGTAGTTGAAAGGCAAGTTGAATTTGAAAGCGCACGAGTGTGGACATAGCTAAATGACAATTTATTTCAGATGATACAAGTAATGCCGATGGCTCTGCTAGGAGAGTTATGTCTTCTGGAGATGTTAAGGAAAAGAGGTCAAAATCCAAAGCTCTGTAAGTATGCAATTTTTTTCTAGTTTATGTAGGCCTAAGTATTTTTTTTTTTTTATAAATAAATATATTTTTATATTTTAACTCAACATTCAATCTACATCTGGATCAGGTAAGGGGCACCAGGGTGTATCTTTAAATTTGTTTACCTTGAAAACACCTTTATGCTTGCACTTTGCAAAAATATGGAGCAAATTATTTTCTATTGTTCCAATGTTAATAATTTGGTTGTGATGAAAGTGTATAAATAGTTATTTTTATACTTCTTGATCAGCATTGTTCACGTGTTATTAAATTTACGAAAAGTAAATAAAAGAAACGTCTTATAATACTTAAAAAATATATTTACGCTTATACTGTTACTCACAAGACGGTAAATATAAAAAAAAAGATGGTAGGTAAGTTGTTACAGTAATAGAGGTTCTACGATAGGCTACTTAATTGTTGTCATTAATCATGTTTCCAAAATTTGTTTTAACTTGGATACTCTTTAATTTGGCACTGAAAGAAAATTGTCAACCTATAATTTAATTTAATTTGTTAATCAAATAAATGTCTATCTAGGGTTGAATGGGTGCAGGAGCAACTTTGGGATCGGCCCCACAGTCGCTGGATAGATTATCTCAGTCTCATTGTGTTGGTGCTACTGACATGGCTGCTTTTGTACACACTCTTTGACTCTGAGGTAGGTTTATCTTTAATCATCTCTAATAGCTTCTAAAATAGTTACGTTTGAAAATAGTACTGCGCCGCCGCCGCCACTTCAGTACAGTTCAGGTACTATATTGGCTGACCCCTTGCTTTGCTTTATCTTTATATAAGATACACAAAGGTATCCGAGGCCCTATGTGGACAGGGCATATTCAAGGTTGAAAGAGGCTGCAAATTACTTAAAAAATAATCATTGACATTTGTAAATAGTTTTGAACCTTGGAATGTGCTTTGGAATGCACTTAAGACTGGACCAGCCACCTTAGATTACAAGACGGGTACTTAAACCCAATTTTAATACTTTGATGTGCCTAGTACAATGTTGCTCTTCGTGCTACCAGTAGTCTTAACCCACTGGTGCTTAAGTATTTAGTTGAATCTCACCTTCTATTGTCACATTCAGGCTTTAATTATTAGTAGTACTTTTCCCAACCTGCAGATGATGACATAGCTGAATTGCTTAACGTGTTGCTCTAATAAGTGTAGGCTTAAGGTCATTCTACATTTACGGCTTTGATCCCTGTTCCCGTATTGTGCAATCCATATTAACATTACTATTTTGTCGCATAGCGGTGGGGTGATCCACCTTTAATAAACAATGCATGGCTTGGGCTGAAGTTGAATTAAAAGTTGTATAGAGATTAGATTACTCCACACCTGTTTTGCTTCTTTTTACATTAGTGAAAAGAAGGAGATGGATTTTTGGCCTTTATTTCGGTTACGTGTGATTCATAGCTAAGCAAACTTGTGGGCATTGCCTGTTTTGGGCCGTCACACTTGACACTTATCACTTAGCGGATAAAACCACATGTTTTAGTATTGACGGTTAAAATGCTTACGGTTAATCGAGGTTCTTCTGTGCTCCACTAGGGAAAAAGCACTCTTAAATATCACAGTTTTGAGAAACTATGTCAATTATTCTGAAAAACCGACATAGCTTCAAAAAAGAGCCATAGATAATTCTAATGTTAAAAAGATAACCCCTTTCCTATTAATTCATAGTTTTAGACCGTGACTGAGGATGTTTTCCCCTGCAGGTTAGCCCCAGTGGAGACATGTTCCGTCTGCTGGTGCTAGTGTTGTGTGCGGCTGTTGCTGCTCCTCTAACATCTCTTATCAAACTCCCACCTCTACTCGGCATGTTGCTGACCGGCGTACTGCTGCGAACTGTTGGCTTCTACCATGTGTCTGGCGTTTATCACAATATCGTCGTCAATCTTAGGTATTGTAAGGTCATCATTTAATCTCGTGGGTGTAACAGCATCTAGTAGAACATTAAATTAAGCAAAGTTAAGATATGATGTACCTGTGATACTGTCAAACAATCCTTTATAGTTGGACTGTATTCTTGTTAAAGAGCTATAGACCAGAATAGGTTTGATTTTGTGTTTGATATGAAGAGCATGCTTACCTGTTTAGTGGAAAACTGACTGTAAGGTTCTTTTCAATAGGGAACTCATTTATTTTTTTTTTTTATTTTTTTTTTTTTAAAAAGAGGTTGGCGGCCTCTTTTAACCTTGCATTTGCCCGTCCACATAGACTAAGCGCCCGTGCGTGGATCGTTTACAGCAAAGCAAGGAGTGAGCCGGTACAGTACAAAGGTGAACTGTACTGATAAAAATGTTATCGGCAGTGACCAGGATCCGAACCCACGACAATACTGCCTTGAGCCCGAAGTCCGCGACGCTACCGACTGAGCCACCGACTCACTAAAACTATACTCATACGAATACTCATACGAAATTGAAATTTTTTTTAGACACGTGTTTTGTGTCAAAAAGACTTCAGTAACCCATTGCATATTGCATCTTCCCAACAACAAATAAATCAAACTAATCAAGTATAGTTATAATAGTGTGACTACTGTATCTTAGGCTAATATGAATAAATCATCATCAGGGCCAAAGACGTGTAGTTTACCTAATCTTTCGAAGTCGTTATGACGGTTGCACCCACACATAAAAAAAACCTACACATAAAAATAGAGACAATAAGGTCAACATTTAAAACTAAAACAATTTGGCCAAGTAATAATAGCACATGATGCAGTACCAGTGAAACAATTCTCTGAGGTAGCGCATCTTTACTGCTCAAATCCTCCTTGGTTGAAAATGCAGTGACAGTGAAATATTTTGTACAAAGTGTCACATATCGTTTATTGTGCCAGTATGGATTTTCCCTTCCCATTAAGCCTGCTGTTTTAACTAAAGATCCTTAAAACCTAACCTCAAAATAAACACAACCATGTACTTATGTCCAGACAGACTGCTATGACTGTGATCCTACTCAAGGCAGGGCTAGGCCTGGACCCAGCTACCTTGGTCAGGCTATCATTGGTGGTGGTGAGATTAGGCATGTGCCCGTGTGTTGTAGAAGCGGTTACGATCGCTGCAATCTCTCACTTTCTACTCGGCTACCCGTGGCTGTGGGCGCTAGTATTGGGGTATGGTATCTTTTAATTTATTTTTTGTGTTTATCTTTAGTGTAAACATTATAGTGGTTATTTCCCTACGTATTTTTTATATCATTAATTCTAGACTATGTTGAAAATCTAAAAATTGAAAGACAGTCGAGTTGGTCTTAGTCTTGTTTCTTAGTATACAAAAAAAAACAAAAAAAAAACAGTAATCTAAGTAATAGGGCCTTACACCTAGAGTCAATGTTTAGTCAATGTGCATATTTACTGTTACGCTCTAGTCTCCAAAGATCCATTTTCAAGAAGCCCTTCGGTTGAAATTTATTTTGTCGTCTTTTCTGAAAACTGCCAGGCTCTGTTTTTACTCAGTATTGACCTCTTTTCACTGTTAAGGTGTTGTTTTCAGGTTCCTGCTGTGTGCCATCTCCCCCGCTGTGGTTGTCCCCACCCTGCTAGGTCTGAAAGAGAGAGGATACGGAGAAGACAAAGGCATTCCCACCCTGGTCCTGGCAGCTTGTAGTCTCGATGACATCACTGCCATCTCTCTCTTCTCTCTTTTTCTCGGCATGATATTCAGCACAGGTACGCTTTAGGGTTGTGATTAAAACATTCTTAGTTTTAGAAGAGTCCTTGGAGGCTAGCGGCCATCTTGGATGATTTCAAACAGCTGCTGAAGAGTTAATTATTATCTAAAGTGTTTTTTCAACGCCAAAGTGATTAAAATTTTAATATCTAAGACACTGTGATATTAGACATTTTCTTTGATGTTTTGAATTCCATAGGAGTCCATGGAAGCCAATGGCCATCTTGGGTTTGCCCGCCATAAGAGCAATGTTAATTTGTTAATTTCAAACTGTGACGGAGCCTAGCGTCTTAAGATATGAAGGTGAGAAAAAACCATGACTAGTAAAAGACAAACAATAGTGCACCAATAAACCTTATTACCATAGGGGTAGTGATTCTTATTAGCTTAATATAGATTCTATGTCTATATCTTTCAATCTTTGTCTACTCTTCTAGGTGACTTGACACATCAGATCCTCCAAGGTCCCACGGATGTGATCGTAGGACTTGTTGCTGGGATTGTCTGGGGAATCATCTCTGGAAGCCTTCCTCACAGAGATGATGTAAGTTTGTTTTAAATATTTCATCACTGTAATTGATTGTCACACTCTGCCAAGGTGATCGCGGAAATTGAAGACAACACTGCCACTGTCGCTTTTCTAATAATAAGTTTGAGCTTAGGTTTAGATATATCTTTAACAACCTAATGTACTTAAGTAAAATAAATAATTAAAGGATGTGCTTAAAGAATGCTGTAGTGGTAGCCGTCATTGTCAGATTGTGCCACTAGTAAGCCTGTGTTTTGTTCCTATTGGTATTGAATACCAGTATTGTATTCACGTTTCAATAATGGTTACCAGTACCGATACTTATTCTAAGAACTGATGGTACCAAGAATCACCTTTAGGTACCAACACATCTCTCACTAAACAGTGGCCGTGGCCCTCCCTCTGAATTAGCCACTGCTTGATCATTGAGATTAATAAATTGCAGTGCCGGATTTAGGGTACTTGCGGGGTACTTAGGACAAATTACTCGAGCGCCCCCTCCCCTGTAGCGGAAGTTCCCTGTGATAGCAGTGAAATAGTGAGAATCTCTCTTGATCAAGGGGACATCATCATTGTCACCCACGATCGTGGGTGAAATCATGGACATCTAATCTAAATCAAGGGAAAAAAGAGGATAGCAGCTAGCTTACCTTGACAGTGTAGGTAAGCTTGCTGCTAACCTCCTCTTTTTACAATTCAAAATCCTGGCCTAGAGCCTTTCCTTGAACAAAACTAAGTAAAGGGAAAGCCATCATAGACTCTGTAGTGGAATAGTTAACATTTCCTGCGGGTCACAATCACAGGGACATTCTCATCGTCACACACGATGCCGGAGAATTTGTAAACACCTACCCTAAATCAAGGGAATGTCATCATTTGCCGCAAAATCGTAAACATCAACCGCAGGCCGCAATCACGGAGACAACATCATCATAACCCCCAATCGCAGATAAAATCAATAACATCATCTTCCCAAAATCAAGGGCACGTGATTCTTGACATCCGTGACTGCGGTAAAACATCGTGAACATTTCCTTCTGTCCACAATCACGGGGAGATAATCGTCACTATCACAGTTACAGAGAAATCAAGAGAACCTACCCAAAATGAAGAGAATATTATCACCAACACCAGTAACCACGGCAAAATAATAGTTTCAAAAAATAAACTTTATTTTTCTGTTCTGAAAAAATGTTTTTTGTCAATCCTTTGCGGCCCTGGTGGTAAATCCAGGACTGACAAATGGTCCTGGCTTAAGAACCATCTTATCTTAGTCAGTAACAAAGCTATCTCATTCATTTCACACTCGTCGTTAGTAATTTTTTTCTTAAAATAAGATCCATTATGTTTTAGCATCAAGCTAATGAAATTAACAAAATTTATCCATTTTCCAATATGTGTTTGGCTATAACAGAAAAAAAAATGCTAAACTATCTTCTGTTTCCATTGCAGGAGCTAGTGGTTTGGAAGCGCGCTGCCATGGTAGGGGGTGGTGGTCTGTGTGCTATCCTAGGTGCACCTCTAGCACAGTTTCCCAGCGCCGGGCCTCTAGCCTGTGTTACCATGGCGTTTGTAGCCTCCGTGTGTTGGAAGACTCAGGGATCTGTTGCTGGGAAGGTCAGTGTCTCATAATTTACTACAAGTTACAAGATTTTAGTGTGTAAGACTTTTTTAAATACTTTACTTTTACTTTTAACTGAAATTAAAAGTCATTTTAAGGCTGTACATAGGAAATTAAAGCTCAATTTAGTAAGCTTGGATTACGATTTATCAAGCGTTAGTCAAGGTTTGATTCTTGACAGAATTTTAGAATTTAGGTGAGATTTGTTTTTTTTTTAGTTGATGAACACACTCTAATGTTGTTTGAACAAACATAATCTATACACGTATGTATGTGGATGACAGTGCATGTACACTATATTGTCATGTAATTCTAACTGACTGTGTCAACATAATAGTGTTTAGTTTTTATCATAAACTTATAATGCTGGCAGTACCTAATAAAAAGGTGTTAAAGGATTGATTCTGTAGAATATTGAGTTGGAAAAGTGATGACATCCAACATGAAAAAGAACCATGAAGCTATGAGATAATTTGCGTGTGTACTCGACAGTGATTACGGGGGCTTAAATTTTAAGTGAAAAACCATTAATTTAACAAGTAGAACAAACAGTAAAAAGTACATGTAAATAAGTTGGCCCAAATAGTTCTTGTATTATCATCAGAACGTAGATGCAGGTTGCTTGTGGATGATTGTAGTGGATGTGTTATGTGTCAGCCTCAAGTTGCAGACGTGTTCTCCGTTTTTTGGAGAGTGCTGGAGCCGATGTTGTACGCGTTCATTGGAGCGGAGATTGACCTTACGGTTCTCAACTTAAACACTGTATTGTGGGGCGCTGCTGTCATATCAGGAGCTCTTGTTGTGAGTTTAATTTGTATTGGTTGTTTTTTACTTTACGCTAACACTAAATTGCAATTCAACTTAAATAACAGGAATTTTTGGGATATTGAAGACGACATACATCCCATATATTATATGGACCAGCTGTTTTGCAATTTCTTTTTTGCTCACAAAGAACATGGTTGAAAGCCACTCATCGAGTGTGATACTGTATGAAATTCCATTTTCTCCCTTACTTTTTGATATTAAAGACACTATATTCAACAAAAAGTATTTCTTCCCGTTCTGTTTTGGTTAACAAATAAAGCATTTTTTACAGAAATCATTAGGCCTAGTCAGTGGCTCGAATGAACTATGATAATTTTTATTCCAAAGCTGGTCACAACTTAAAGATAGAAATAGAATGTCTAGTTGTATTCATTGTCAAATCTTCACATGTTTGTTCTGATACTCAATTATGGAAATCTACAGCCATTTCATCATTGATGGAGTCAGTAATATAATAAGTAAGTGTATCTACTACTAGCTGTTAGTTTAATCATTGATATTCCTAGGTGAGGGTGGTGGTATGCTGCCTTGTGTTGTTGGGAGGGGGTCTCAACTGGAAAGAAATACTGTTTGTGTCACTAGCATGGCTTCCCAAGGCGACTGTACAGGTAATATAATCATATCACTTGAATGTTTTGGATGTTCAAAGGATTTTGTGGTGGATATGATGAACAGCTGGTTAAACTGAGTTATCCTATCAATTTGAAACAGTTTTCTTCTCACGAGCTTAATAATTTATTGAAAACCATTTTAGAACTTTTTTTTAACCCTTTGCGGTCGAATGGTGATTATAGGTCGCTGCCGCCATTTTCCCGACTGCTCGAAAATGGCGACCTATACTCACAAAAAAAATCAAAAAAGTTTATCTTTGCGGTTGATTGGCGAGTATAGGTCGCCTGGCGCCATTTTCCCAACTGCTCGAATACTCGCCGAAAAAATGGAAAAAAAATTTGACCTCAAAGGGTTAAAGTTAAGTATTAAGTATGAATCAAGACTTATTTCCATATTTACATTCTAGAAATTCTAAACCCAGCACTGCTGGTCTATCTTAGGCAATTAGATTACAAAATTGGCTATTTGAAAATTCCCTCACAGCAATAAACATGTCTTACAGGCAGCGCTAGCTCCTCTGCCTCTAGACATGGTACGGCAAAGCAGTGCTCCACTACTTGAGGACGTGGCTAGAGCCGAGGACATCTTGACAGTTGCCGTGCTGTCCATCCTCATCACTTCACCTCTAGGAGCCATCGGGGCAACTCTGGGTGGCCCTAGGCTGCTCAAGAGACAGACGTGAAGTGGACATCACTTCATGCAGAGTGTGCTGCTGTCAAATGTTTTATATTGTTTTTGATTTTGTGGTAGATGATGCGACAAGATGTTTAAGTATATAGTAGGTTGCTCTTTTACCTTGACCTGGTAAACAGCTCGCATATTCAACAGATATCAACAACTGACATAAATACTTTCGCTTTATTCAAGTTATGTTTATTCAAAAACTACAATTTGTCTATGTACATCCATAGACAAACCAACACAAGTAGACTTCTCATCCCATTGTAAATGTTGAAACTTGTGTTTCGTTTCTAGTTCATATCCGGTGAAACTGATTGCTAGTGTCAACAAAATTTTATTTCTAATATTTAAAGTTAATTTCAGATTTGTGCTTTACTGTTTGGTTATATAACTAGGGGATTAGCCTCTACAGTACAACGGACAGAACTAACAATAAAATTGGCTTCATCTGTTCCATAAGGATGAGAAATCTACTAAGGGAGTATGTTTTATCTATCGAACATCTTTAACACTATAAAGGGATGTCTACTTCTATAATTAGTCAAAAGTCTACCAACCGTAAATTAAGTGTGATCTGTTCTATAGATCATGTGTAACTCTCAGGTTTATGAAGTAATTAATACAAATGCGTCTGTTCAGTGATTATATACATTTGTTTAGAGTTAGCTTGAATTTGTGCAAATCAGCAAATGTACTTATATTTAAAAATATATTTTTAGTATTACAATTTGACTTTTTATATTTTGGTTTCCACTTTTTTAACATCCAAGTCCTTTAAATTATTATTCTTCAAAATCAAGTTTTTTTTGTTTTACAAATTAAAATGTACATATTTGTTTATAAACGCGTAAAATATTCATGTGCTCTATGGTAATAAATGGACAAGACACTTGGCCATAGGCTATTGGAGGCGATTCTTACAAAATATAAAGTAGGTATATTTGAAATATATATAGTAAATTTCTCGGTCCTAATAAAAATTTACGTAGTCTACTGACAATTGAATTAACTAGCTTTTGTTCGATCTTCCAAATTCTACAGCAATTCCCAATGTTTCCATCAGTATCAAGATCAGCTCGACATTCTGGTCCCCGGTCCCCATAAGTTTATTTTATTTTGATTTACAATTAATTATTACCGATTTTTCCAAAGATACATATAGGAGTCACAGACAAATTGAAGGAAGACTATTTAGACGCAATAGAAGATTTATTTGTCCATTTAAAAGTTAAAGAGGGAGATGTTGGTACTGTATTGCTATAACCAGCTGATCTCTGATTTTCATTGTCAAGAATTAGATCTTGTGTAATTAGATCTTGTAGCCCCATAACGTTACAAGTTGCACCTGAGTCAAGCTGGAACCTTCTGAGCTTTTTGTTGACCATAATTTTTACAAAAAGTTGTTTTTTGTACTGGATATCGTTAAGTTCCATCACTTCCTTATTATTATTATTTTATGGCCAGCATTGGACCACTTAAGTCAATATAACGGTCAGGTTCTTTTAAAATTCTGTCTCTTCTTCTTGTCCGCCCAATACTTCTTCATTCATTCCGACCGTTGTTTTCTTTCTTCTTCCGAAATCACTCTTCCTTGTCTCTGATTGTTTGCTCCTATTGGCAGGATTATATTTTTGTCTTTGAGTAAACTGCAACCGCCTCTGACTTATTTTATTACCCATTACAATACTTGAAAACAATATAATTTGCTGTAAAAATATATTGTCAAACTGCTTTCACAGATGCACCCGTAATAAATTGATAAAAATAGACGGATCTTTATGTAGGCAAGATAACATTGCATTTTTTCATGTTTACAAGTATTCCTTAGTTTTGATTGTCTCCTGCAATTGTAGCAACATCCGTGACCATATTCTGCGGTCTTGTCTCTCGCTATCACGTCAACGCCGGTAATCGTCTTTTTCGGCCACGTTTCGGATGACCGGGCTTCAGATAATCCTACAAGGCTTCTGATTTTGATAAGGATCGGTTACTGATCTTTAAAATATGATGGCACAAAGCTTGGAACTTTCCTGTTAAAGGGAACATTTCATTATTATCGATGATTTTTTCTCGATATTATCGATATTAACAAATTGAAACATATCAGCTGATAACTACGTGATAAATATTGTTCAGTATCAACACACAATAATGAAATGAAACTGTTTGAAAAAATAACCTAACATAACAAACCAAACTTGCTATAACATTTAAAAATTCTGTGTTTAACTTGCCTTTTCTATTATCAAACCCAAACGGAATTTTTAAATGGTCCAGCAAGTTTGGTTGGTTATGTTAGGTTAGCTTAGAACAGTTTCATTTCTTAATCCATATAATAGACTATTTTAGAATAAACAAGATCAGTTAGTTGTTGTCAATTTGTAATGGATCGGAAAATAAAAATATCGATATATCGTAAAAATCATCGATAATAATGAATGTTCCCTTTAACAGGAAAGTATCCAAAGGTTTATGTTAATTTTCCTTGCTATTGACTCTATATTACAATTAAATACTCAAAGCCTGAAATGTAAACTTCAATCAATATTAAATGTTACTGAATTATGAGTGGTGGTAGACAGTGTTGGATTTACGACTATGCCGTGGTTTAGGACCGTGTTTTTGTACAATAAATAAGTATACCACCTATTACCTTGGGGGTATACCCATTAGACCCCCTCCGGTGTTTAATTAGGGGGTACACAGCCTACAACCTTAATTGACTATTGGATCTACAACCCAAGATTCCAAGCAACGGCCCCCTCCGAGAATCCGTGCTGGAGCCGGCGAGCCGCCCCTGCTTCCCTGAAGGGAAAATCGCTAAAAAACACATACTGTAAATGATTCGGTTGAAGCGTAGACTAACCAACACCTAAGTAGACTTCTCATTCCATTATAAATTTTGAAGCCCGTTTTTCGCTTCTAGTTTATATTGGTAATACTGATCACTAGTGTCGACGAAATTTTGTTTATATATATATATATATATATTTTGCTCGTATATACGCCAGTGGCATTTTTGTAATGAAGTCAAACACTTTTTTAAGGGAAAGCGGTCCAAACCCATTAAAGTTTTGTGGATGTGCCGGGGATTGAACCCGTCCCTCCCGCACCGAAGTCCGAGACGCTAACCACTAGGCTAGCAACACACCCAATGGTTTAATATTAGGGTCATTCATTATCATGATGTGTACTTTACTGTTGCAGGTAGCTAAGGCATCACAGAGCTCCAACCTAAAGGTGAGTGAGCGTAGCGAACGAACTTCAACCAGGACGTGATTGAGCCATGCGAACGAGCTCATCTTGAAAATTAAGAAGTTAAACGGGGCAAAGCCCGCGGGTACAGCTAGTATGATACTATGATATAACCATAGACTAACCAACGCAATTAGACTTCTCATCCCAAGCTCGTTTTTCGTGTCTATAGTTCATGTCCAGCGACACTGATCGCTGTCAATGAAATTTTTTTCTATTGTTTTAGAGGGCTAACTAAATTATTTGTGCTTTACTGTTTGGTTATATAACTAGGGAAGTTATTGTTTATGATTATTTCGTTATCCTACAGTTACCTGGCAAAGCGGGCTTTTTTATACTTATTATATATGAGGGTTGCTGTTGTTAATTTATAACGCTTCATATTCGTCAATTCGACAGGCATAATGGTATATGGGACCATGAACAACTTTGTACTATATGCTTATAAACTGCAACAGTGCAACTTCGAGAAATCATGACTTCATGTCAATGCCACCATGATTATTACTGTCGTTCTCTCTTGTCGTCTTGTCCCATGTCCCACCCTCAAAAATGATAATAATAAATGCCAAATGGTGAATGGTGATTGGTGATAGGTGTTTGTTGTTGATTCCCTAATCCCTAGATTCTACCTTCTGCAATCTAAAGTTATTATATTCCGATTAAAAGTAATTGACTCCTTCACTACTTAAATAGTTAATCTGTGATTGTTTTAGTTTCACATTCTTTCTTTTGAAATTAATAATTCATTAGCCACTTCGTGAATATTATCAAGACGATAAACGATGAGTTTCGTACTTAGCAGAAATCTCCCTTAGCAATATTTTTATGCGATGTAAGCCTAGAATGTGTTTTCGGTTTGTGGCGTGATTGTCAGTATAAGTATAATGAAGTGGAAAGGGGAGGTTGCTCCTGGATTCATAGGCCTACACCAGTTTAATTATTAGCTCTAACATGATCTTCACCTACGAATCATGTAAGTCTCCTAATTGCTTTTTAGACTTACTAAAGTTAAGCTAGGCCTAGGGCCTAGTTGCCCCAACTCTTGGTAATTGTCAGTGTTAAATCTACTGACTTGCTTCAGGATAGTTTGGTGATACTGAAGCTGTTCAAAATTAGTAGCCTAATAATTTAAGTTGTCTCCATTCCCTCCTGTCCTGTGGGTACACTAGGCCTACAGTGTCTGAGCATTTCTCACTGATAGACTGTCCTAATGAGTTCAGTATTAATTTTATATTTAACAACAAATTAGGCCTAGTTAACACGTTTGCTGTGGCACACTAAATGGCTTAGACGTAGCCCCAGTGCGGCGCAGCCGCAGCGTCGAACAAACCCGACTGCCTTGTGATTGGCTTTCAAATTTTGGCCTGACGAATAGCAAATAACGGGCGGTGCTGTCCTGCTTTACAACAAGAGTCGACGTAGTTTGCTAAAACACCCACAGATACTTAGCAGCACTGCTTCAGTTCCACAGAGAACCTTCAATATTAATTTATTATCAGAACAACCAAGTTATTCTAAACTTAACTTAGGCCTAATCCAATTCAATAAGTTACTGTAGGCCTAAGTTAGGCCTTATAGCGATTACAAAAAATATTGTTTTTTTTTCCAATAAACATCAAATTGACTTTTTGTTTTTTTACGTTTGTATCCATATTGAATGAATAGGCCTAAAACTAACAATGTTTAACCAAAAACTGTTTTCAATAATTTTCATAGGCCTACTACTGTTGGTATGGTAACCAGATAAGAAATCTAAATTCATGTTTTCTTCCATTTTTATTCTTAAATACCTAATGTAACTTACGGTATCTAAGAAAAACTAAAGATAAACTAAATTATACAACTTTGATAATGTTGTTATTGTTTCATAAAATGGTAGGCCTATTAAATTAAATACAATATTAAATTAATATCGTATAAATATTACAATCGTATTACAGTAGACTCCCTCTTATCCGGACACCTTTTAACCCGAAATCGATTTAATTGGACTACACTTGGTGGAAATGACATAGGGCCCATCTTTAACCGGACTATTTTTATCAGCACATCGGTTTAACCGGACTAGATTGTCAGGAGGGGGGGGGGGGTACTGAAACGACTGTTCTCGTGGGAAATATTTGAGACCAATGACCACTTGTCTAAATAAGTAATTATTATTGGCTCATAAGTACATTAGAGCCTATGCATTTAAACGGTCCATTAAACAAGTTTTCGGGGATGTCGGCTTAACCGAAAAAACCGTTATCTGGACTGGCCTCGGTCCTGAGGAGTCCGGATGAGAAAGAGTCTACTCTATTAATACGATAGTAATCGCTTTTTTCATAGTTGTTGGACGCGATGGACGACAATGGGATCACCAGTGGACAAGTAACTTAAACCATCTTTTTAACCTGAAATAGTGACCTAGCTAAATACCTATTGTTTCATATCGCAGTTGCTTACTTTTTATGTAATTTGGACTTGAAGTTTATAATTGTTTAGCTCCCATTGGAACATACAACCTCAAAACATGTCTTCCTTTTGGTCATTGTCGGTAGCAACTCTCGCCACATCCTATCCTTCTAGCCAAATCTTTCAACTCTTTGCTTCCATATTTTTTCATTTTCAGGGTCCTATTATTCTGATTGCAAGAGTTTCTTTTTCCTAGAGCACAGTTTGTTTTCTTCATTTAACCAGGGCAGATGGCCTGTTATTTAAAGCAATAAATTACTTTGTTAGAGTTCACTTCTGGCCACCAGGTGTTCATGATTCTTCTAAGACAGTGATTGAGTTGCAGCATATAACCTATTAAAAACTTGAATGTATTAGAATGTCGGGGGGTGAGCGTAAGAAGCGATCATCTCGAGGCACTGGCTGGGAGGAGGCCGGGGGAGAATTCTACCAGGAGAGTTACCCAGGCGGGGATGCGGATTTGGAAGTTCTTCAGCGGGATCCACATCGCATCGCCACGTTGCTGCCTAGCAAGCAGAACAGGGCTGGTAGGTGATGCGCCAAATTGATCTTGTTGTAAAATTTTTAATTTAGTTAGACCACGGTATGTCAAATTAACATTAGCCTATATGAAATAGTTTTTTTATTAGGCCTATGGCCTTACCTCTTTATGGTTACAAACTTACTTAAAATTGATTCATTTGGTCTCCCAAATTAAGTGACTGCTCTAGCACTTGTGAAACTTGCGCTAAAAAGACTACAGAGTTTATGTTTTTGTATAATTTTCAAGTTCTTTTAAAAATCTATAACACTAGGAGATCATAATAAAGATAGTTTTAAACTTTAAACAATAGTTTCGACCAATTTCAAATGTTTTCTTCGTCTTATGTCCAAATTATGGTTCATGAACTAGCTTTAAAACTGAAATCAGCTTCATTATTGGCAAAAGCTTTCAATAATAATGGTTTAATTTACCTCTGTCAATATGGTCCTTGCGTAGTTTGTCACTACTGCAGTTTCGTGCTCGTGGAGCACATCATCAAAAGCTTTCGTCTAGCTTGATTCTGAAACATGCTATAACTGTTGTTCCACAAAATGGGTTAGGCCTACTCTAGGCCTACTTATGAAAAATTTGTGTGCAAACAGTAGTTGAAAACTTAAGTTTAAATTTGTTAATTTTAGTCTAAATACTTTACTTGATGTACCTACCAGTAGGCTATATGAAATTTCATTGAAATGTGAGATGGTAAGGCTCTTTTCAATTCAAATCTTAGTCAAGGTGTTATAATGCTTGCCTTCAAATCAGGGGTTGCCAGTTCAATTTCAAGCAAATTCATTACCGGACTCAGGTCCCATTTGTCATTGGGCTCGATGTTAGATAGAACAAGACTTTGGTTTGAACCATTTTCTAACAATATAATTTTAAATGACACGTCAATAAACACAGAAAAAAATAACTTCCTCAGTTGAATATGTTTATCAGTAACAGTGTGTAACAGTGTTTATAAGGTTGTCTGTTTTGTCATTGTTTTATGTTTCAGCCACCAGCAAGCGCCATAATGCCCATGACATGAGGTGCACCACCAAGCGCCGCACGTCCACACGCTCCATGTATCAAACTACGACCCAGGCTAGGCAAGGAACCACCCAGACGGAGGTCCAGGTCTCCATAATGCCCGATCTCTCCGGTAATTCATAATTTCAACAATATTAATTTTCTTGGCATAACAACTTTAAAGGCACTGGAAAACAATTTTTTTGTATCAAGAAGTTATATTTCGGCTATGATTTTACTAAAATAATTATATCAAAGATGACTAATCCTAAACAGCCTTCATAACTTTTTGCCTCATCTATGTTTATAACTTACAATCATGTTTTGTTGTAGAAAACCTTTCAAATGAAGAACGGACCTGGGAAGAAATGATGTTGATCAAGGCAATGCCAGTCAGCATGGCACAAAAAAAGGAACTGAAAGCTAAATTGCAGGTAACTAGGCATGTTATTACTTTTTGTAGTTGGCCTATTGTTGGCTTCTGAACATTTTTGTGTTGCTCATTAACAGTAGCCTTGCCTACTTTATTTACTCTTGGTACTTCAGTAAAGCTTAGGTTAAATGGATTATATTCACATTGATGTTCAGGGTATTTATAACGGAATATTGTTATGAATAACTGTCTTGTCATTTATTTCAGAGTGCAGATACATTTCGTCTGCAGGGATTGAAGCAGTTCAAATGGCAAAGGAGAAAAATGTGGGAGCAGTTCAAAATAAAGTGGAAGGAAACTTACTCCAAACTGGAACTTTGGAAATACAGCTTAAAAAAGATTGAGGGAAATTTTGGGACTGGAGTTGTAGCTTTCTTCTTGTTTGTGAAGTGGTTAATGTTCTTGAATTTAACTATAACTTTGATGATTTTTACTTTTATTTTCCTACCCTCTGTGCTAATGGAAGTGCCAAAGCCAAGCCCTTGTGATTCAAATAATGTCACAGTCGTGGAGTGTTGTGCTGAACATTACGTAAGAAATCAAAGTGAAAAGATCGGCTCGCTACTGGAGTTTGTACAGGGAACAGGATGGATGGAAAACACTCATCTTTTCTATGGGATGTATCCAAGTATCGTGTTCAGTGGTGACTTCCGGTACAATTTAGCTCTCGCTTATATTTCAACTGCTGTGGGATACTTTTTACTCAGTTTTTTTGCCATCATGAAAAGCGCAGCTCACGGATTTAAGGAGCGGTTGATAGAAAACGAAGGTCAGTTTTATCATTATTGCAACATGGTGTTTGCCGGATGGGATTTTTGTATTCATAACCAACAATCGGCCAGCATCAAACACAAGGCTTTGTACAATGAGATGAAGGCTTCGTTGGAGGCCGAGAGACGAGAAGAGGAGAAGCGTAATCGGTCGAAAGATGAGAGAATCAAACTTTTAATGATTCGTACTATTGTGAATCTCACAGTTCTTTTGATACTGATTTTAGCCGGGATAGTTATTTATGTTACTTTTCAAATATCCATAACCACAAAGAGAATGCACAGAATTCAGACATTACTTGTTGAATTTGCCCCTTCTTTGTGCATTGTGTCTTTGAATTTAGTAGTACCAGTAGTATTTAATTACCTAGTCACGTTTGAGCATTACAGTCCAATATTCGTCATTCGCTTCACGTTGTTCCGCACAATCTTACTTCGTTTGTCCTCTCTGAGTGTTTTGTTCGCTTCTATCTATGGCCTCATCAAGTGTAATGTTCACCCAGAGCAGTGTACCAGCTCCGAGTGCAACACTCCTCCATGCTGGGAGTCCTACGTGGGACAACAGTTGTACAAACTGTTGATTCTCGACCACGTCTCCAGTATTGTGGTTACTTTGTTTGTTAATTTCCCCAGGATGTTGATCGGCAAACACATACACTGTCGTCTGGCTCGATGGCTGGGCAATCAAGAGTTTGACTTGCCCAAACACGTGTTGGACGTAGTTTACTGTCAGACTTTGTGTTGGTTCGGTAGTTTTTACGCGCCTTTGTTGCCAGCGATCGCCACAGTGCTGTTCTTGAGCACCTTCTACATAAAGAAGTTCACTTGCCTTGTAAACTGCTCTCCGTCTACAACTATTTACAGAGCTTCTCGCTCTAACTCCATGTTCATGTCCGTTCTATTGGTTTCTTTCACCGTCGCTGTAATACCGTGGGCTTACACGGTGGCTGAAATCGTTCCATCCAAATCCTGTGGGCCGTTTAAAGGAATGCCCACTGCATGGTCAGTCATGGAACACACCTTCAGCAACCTGCCAGGGTGGATAAAAAGCCTGGCTGATTTCTGCACCACTGCAGGATTCGCTATTCCGGCTTTTGTTATTTTGACTTTGAGTCTGTATTATTACTACGCAGTAGCTGCCGCCAACAAACACATGGTCATTGTGTTGAAGAAACAGCTGGTGTTGGAAGGCCATGACAAGCAATTTCTTCTCAATAGGTTAAGTGCTTTCATCAAGCAACAACAAGAACGCCACAAAGCTATACGTTCTATAGAACCGCCTAATTAACTCCTCGGTAGTTCTTGGACTTTGAATGTACGACATGGTCTTGTATTTGTAAGATTACTCAATTTATAAACGGCCATTTGATAATCGATGGCTTGACTTTGCTTTATCGTTGTGACATGAACTTGAGCTCAAAGTTTGCCAAAGACGTAGGTTGTAGAGTTGTCATCTGATTTGTAATGTGATATACGTTTTAAGGTACAGTTTATCAGTAATTAGTCAGCCCTGTAAAATACTCTGTACAGATTTTGATATTTACAAAACTTTTATTTTCATTACAGTATACTTGACTGCACACTGCCAAAATGTAAATTGAGATTTGGTCGTCACATAATTAATTACTCTTGATGTTTTAATGTTTAGCTCTTATCATTGTAGACACAATAGCAGTTAGTTATGTCTTATCTTGTATGACAGAATTTTAAGTGATAAGTATAATTGTTATTACTAACATAATGACAATTTTCAAGGACTTACTATTCTAATTTTTGTTCAAAGTTATAATTTATTTTCTTTACCTCGTTCAAAACCTGAGTGAAAGTGGGTCATTATGTATACTAGGTTTGCTTTCATAGCAGTGAAAGGCAGTTGAGCGGAGCAATCAGGTTTAATAGTTTTTAATAAAGCAATAAATAAAAACAACGTTTATAGATAATACAAATATTTCATCAATTTAACTTATCAATTTGTCTCAGAACTATCAACATCTATAACAAGTTTCATTAGTAAAGATGTGGACATAACATAGGTACATATCCTTTGTATTAGTAATTTTCCTGTGTTTGCTTGCTAATGTCATCCGGTGAACCCACAGTTCTGGTTGAACCCGACCTTGAACCTAAACCAATCGAGATTCTCTCAATCTTGGCCAGATTTTGCAACTCAGGCAGAAATCCTGCATGGATCTATACGATTAGAAGATGTAACTTTTTAAAGACTTGCCTGCTTTGAGTGAATTGCACAAATAGTCACCATACCTTACAAGTTTTGTTTTCTTAAATTTTGTACATTTAACATGATTATGAAAAGCATTGTTTTCAAGCAATTTCTACATTCAACTATCTCAAAACATTGCCAAAAGTAGTTGTTCGTGCATTTCTGGTGTTATTACTCGTCTTCATTTTCTAAAAATATCAGACAGCTTTTGAGAATGCACTCTGAAATTTTCCTTAACATGACACTCTTATGCGAATTAGGTATTTTCTTGTAAAACAAAAACGTAAAAAATACTTTATCCTTGCTTTCTTGGGCAATTAAATACCCCAAGTCTTTGCCAACACTACAAGCAATAAGAAAGAAAGAAAAAGAAAATACCCCCGCCGCAGCAAACCTGCAGACTAAGCGAATTTCCATTTGCCTGATTGGATTTACACTAAAATATCTCCTTAAAAATATCACATTTATTCCCTATTTAAATAGAATCAGTTTAACACATACTTAGGTTTGCTGCAACAGGGAGGGTAAAAGTGTTTTTTTTTTTGTAAAATATTAATAGTTAGTAAGAAATAAAAACATTTTCCAAATTTGGGCAAAACATGTTAATAAACAAGCAAACTACAACAGTTTACTTATTCTCCATAAGAATAACATGAGAATTTTAAATTTACAATTTTTTGGAATTTTCTCCGTTACCATTAGGCGCATTATAACGCTTCCATATACTAAATTATTTGTTTTTTAAGCTCTACAAAATTGTTTGGAAAGAAATTGCAAAATTTTATGTTTTTTGGGTCAAAAATGGGAAAAACCCATTTTTACCCCATAAAAGACCCCATAAACCCCCGTTCCCATGGTCCAATCATGCTGGTTCGCGAACTCGTTCGAATAAACGTAGGTTTACACGTTTGTACCAAATTTCATTAAAATCAGATCATTTTTGCTGGAGTTATCGCGCTAACGGACACATATATATATATATATATATAAATATATATTATTTTCTTGCATTTTTAGGGCTACTAATATAATAAAATTAAAACATATATAACAAAGTACCCTTTTAGTAATTATTTTATTTTTCATGACGACATGTTTCGGAACTAAGTCCATTGTCAAGTCATTTTTACCATAACCTCATTCTTTAAACTAACAAAATTAAAAATATAATCATATGTAAAAATAATAAAATATGTTAACTAAATCTTAATACATTTTGGTATTAATTTTTTTCATTATACTATATGAATGTTTTTCTTTCTTTCCTTAGTTTTTCAATTTTATCGTAGATAGGTTGGTTTAATTTTGGAATCATTGTGTTGAGTATGTTGTTGGGGTCCTTTTTGTTGTGTATATAAATATTTAGCTCTTCTTTCACATTAAGTTTCTCACGTTCTTTTTCAAATTCTAAAATAGTTAGATTGTCTTTCATGTTTTTATAACTGTGGTCTGTGTTCATTATATGGTCGGCGAAGTTCGACTTCATTGATGTCTGATTTTTTGATTTCAATGCTTGTAGATGTTCCTTGAATCTTGTTTTAAAAGTTCGAGATGTTTGACCTATATAATACTTGCTACAGTCACTACAGTTTATCTTATAGATTCCTGATTTGTTGTACTTTTCGTCTTCATTATCTTCTGTGTGTTTGATTTTTTTATTGATTAATTGGAAAATATTGTTCTTAGTTCTGTAACTATTACTGAACAACTATAACTATAACTATAACTATAACTGAAAAATTAATACCAAAATGTATTAAGATTTAGTTAACATATTTTATTATTTTTACATATGATTATATTTTTAATTTTGTTAGTTTAAAGAATGAGGTTATGGTAAAAATGACTTGACAATGGACTTAGTTCCGAAACATGTCGTCATGAAAAATAAAATAATTACTAAAAGGGTACTTTGTTATATATGTTTTAATTTTATAAATATATATATATGAATTTGAACGGATGGTGTTTTTGGCCTCTAGGGACCTCAAAACGAAAAAAAAAATTGGTCCCGGGTCCAGGTCTTACCATGAGTACTACGGTAATAGCTTATTCCCTATATGGGAAATTCGCTAAAACATGCTTTATTTTTCACAAAAACTTTGACAAGATTAAATAAAGGCATATACCAACAAAGGTAAACCGTCTGTTGTGGTTGGCACAAAACAATAGTCTTTTAGCAAAAATAATAACAATCTCTAAAAGTATAAAAATAAAAAGCTACTTGAAAACACATCCAAATATTATTATAACACTACAAGCAATACAACAATCAAATTTGTAAATAGGTTGGGAAGTGTAGAACACGTTTAAACTCAGCGGTAGATCACGTGTTTTGTTGATAATAGCAAATACTAGAGGTCGTCCAGTGGTCGAAAACTCAACCAAAAATATGTAATTTACAGACTTCTCTAATTTCAATCCACGCTGTACATAAAACATGTGATTGCAATTTCTTCCATTTTTGTTTTGATTTTCTGATTATATTGCGTTGTTATTTCACCACCAGCATGGCAACCCATAAGGTCCATGTTAATTATTTTAATTTTAAACTATTTTTTGTGCTTATTTCTGCACATCTACAGGAAAATAATACTGTACCTGCAATCGGTGGTCTTTTCCAAATTGCGACTTAAATGTAAACTTAAGACTTGCTCTGTATTATTTGATCAGTGGTCATCATCCGGATTTTTTCCTTTTGTACTGTGTTTAGGTCATGGCTTGATTTTAACATATACTATGATTCTTTGTTTTGTTTACATTTACGTCCTTATTTTTTAACCATCATGCCAATCCATAAGGCCAATGTTGAAATTAAAAAACTTTTTAATTATATAGGCATCATCAAAAATTGAAATTGGTTTGGTCTACACCTTCCAAACATTTGTCAAAACAACCTTGGTAAGTTTGGCTAAAATATGTTCAGCCGTTAAATAAAGTGTTAGAAAGTTTGCATTGAAGTTGATCCCAAAGAGCTTCGCTTCGCTCAATTTAAGAGCTTGATTTAATGACTCACTTTCTACTCTTGTTATGAAGTATAGTATACCATTAATATTTTAACTAAAATCAAAGCATATATACTGGTATATGTTTTTCATTTATTTATTTTTTATTAGTAAGGAAACAGTTCTTTTAAACTTACACCTACTGAAAATCAATGCATTGATTTATTTTTGCTCAATCTTTTTTTATCAACCGTGTTAGAAGAGTAAGAATTAAATTTAACTGTAGTCCTGGTCAAGGAAATCAAAACAATTTTCAAGAAAACAAGTTTGGTTTTTTTTCTTTTTTTACTGGTGTGCTTTTAAGCGACAAGATAATGATTATTCTAAACTTATTTTCCTCAAACATTGCATGCTCAAATCCTATTCTTTTACTCATTTCATGCTAAGCTTTATTATCATTTGCTAGTCAGTAATTGTGATTGCTTTATAGGCCTATTTTGTTATATTTTTTATATGCAGTAGTATTTTTATAGGAATGGTTGTAATTTTTTTGTAACACTTTATTTATTGTAATTAAGTTTTTAGATTAAGTCCAAATGTATGTCAATATGTTTGAAAACACTCAGTTTTTGTGCCAAATAAAATGTTTACAGGCTAATACCAAAATATATGTTGATATTCTTTATCCCTCAAAATCTCTCACATAACAACCATCCTCTATTATAGTTTTTCTGATAAATTTCATACTCAATATATTTTTCTAAAAATGCAAGTAAGAAATAAATTACCAAAATTAATTATTTAAAAGGCTAGCAACATACAACTCATCTTAACCAGTTTTGCATCTTAAATCTCTAAAAATAAAAGTACACAAATGTTAAGTATATCTGTGAAGTTAGAATATTGTTTCTTTTAAATAACTTAGGATGGTATGGACGTCAAAAGGATTAAAATACAGCTTTTAACTCGGTTTTTTTCAAATCTACTAGAGGACCTATGCTGCTCTGCAGCATTAAATTAAATATCATATCCAAGAAATAATCAAATTTATGATTTTTTATTGAGTGATGCAGTATTTTGAACTTAACTGATACAAATGATCAATAGTTCAAATTGAAGGCTATAATTTACTGATTATTTTGAGTCCAAAACATTTTTTTACAACCGGCGACTCCCACAAAAGTTTGTAGTCTTTGTTTAAATTTTGCGACGTCAAGCGTTATCATTGTACAAGAAGTTTGCACTGAAGACTAGACTAGAGCTCGTGTAGCAGGACCGAATTTTAGTAAACAAGTTGAGCGTTTCTAGTGTAGATCAAACATGTTGTACAAAAAAAGTTTATAAAACACAAATTTCCTTTGATCGACTTGGCCGGGGAGCGCTACAACTTGTTGTAAAACATGATTTTTTTGCTGTACAACTTGTTTAATATTTTCCATTGCATTTTTAACCATGTTAAATCCAATTACTACCAATTACTGTTGTACAACAGAAGTTAATTTAACAATTTGCACGCGGCTATTAAGCCTACATAATAACACATTAGAACTATAAAAGTGATGCATACAGCTTAGCAGAATTTTGCAAACAACACAGTTTCATAGTAAAATATTTTGTTTAAAGAAACATAGAGAATACTAAAAAAAAAACTATTTATTACAATGTACAAACAGTGTTAAGTATTAACAAATTCAATTTACACAATATTCATTGCATTTTTCATCTTAATCGTGACGGTACACTTTAATTTGTACTTTAGTTATGTGAAGGTTAAAGATCTTCTGGATCTCGACTTTGGTCATTCATCAACAGGAGAGTGTAACTGGAACAAAAAGTATAAAACAAGTCCATAAAAATTATATTGTTATTTTTTAACTCAGCCAAAAGCACTGTTTGTGAACTGTTGTAGTTAGCTTGTTTATAAACATTTTGATCAAATTTGGCCAATTAATTTATTTCATAATATACCATTGACATGTTACCAACAAAACATGTTTTCCTTGCCTGCAGCAGAAATTTTACTCAACTGACTAAAGAAGGAAGTATCAGTGAGAAACTTAACTTAATCAGTAATTTTCTTGTACTCTTAAGCACTCTGTTGCATTTTACAGCTCATAAGTGCCTGTAAGAATTTTCTTCAGAGGGGTAAACCAAGGGTCAGAGAAAAAGACCATCCTCCACAAACAAGCTTATGTTGTAACATAATTGTTGGAAGCTTTGAAGCAAATATGTTTGTAAACGATTTTAGAATCTGTGTTAATTTTTATGATACAAATTCTGAATGTTAACTTATTAATAATTTTGTTACCTGATTTATACTCTTATTGATTCAGTTATCAGTAAATTAATTAGTTTGATTCACACAAAACTTACTGCTTTTGCTATATCAATCCAATCTAAAGCTGCTAAAAACACATCATTTTTCGTAGGCGATTTATCCCAGTTCCAGTAAACTATTTCATTGAAAGTTTTTGTTACGTGAAGTGTTCTTTCATGAGCGTCGCTTCTTTCTATTTTTTCTTCTAATATCAGTCCAGTAAACCCCTTGGGCAGCTCCACTACTTCACCTTTTAATGGATAGCCTCTGAAGGATGCTTCAAGTTTGCCTGAAAATTGTGAGCTCGATTAGAGACGAGTTGAGTGAGACGAGTTAGAGTAGCGAACAAGCTAACCTGAAGGCAAGTGAGTGCAGCGAACGAGCTCCAACCTAAAGGTGAGTAAGCGTAGCAAACAAACTTCAACCAGGACGTGATTGAGCCATGCGAATACTTATGAAGTTAAACGGGGCAAAGCCCGCGGGTACAGCTAGTATATAATAGTATTATATATCATTAGCAGTGAATGTGTTGAGTTAGACCATAGACCTTTTCCCTACCTTAGCCTATTGCCTAGGCCTATTCAGTATTTATCCATCATTGTAAACTTAGTAGGCCTAGGCCTATTTGAAGAACAACAGGGGAACCAACCTTAAAATATGAATGATTAAACATATATAATAATATAAACTTGTCTTTTCAACTTACCCTCTTTGTTAACAGGCAAAAAATACTGCGAAACCCCTGCATTTCCATCTAAATGTATTTTACAAGGAATGTAGTGTATTGATGTTTTTGATTCTTCCAAATCCTCAGACTTTTTTAAATGAACTGTTCTGACCATCTTGAGCAAACGATAATGAAGTTAACCGTAGTTTAGTTGTAGGCCTACAAGTTAGAATATAACACTAATATAGGCTTGTTTAGTAACCCCCCAAAATAAACACCCTTCCCCTTGATTATTAAATCAAGATCAAGGGTCAAAATCAAAAAGTCAGGTTATGTCAGGCAGGCCAGCGCCAGGTGGTGCAGAATTGGGAATTGGATTTGGAACTGGCTCCAAGCGCGGGTAAATATTCTCATAGAGTAAAGAAATAAAATTGAATGGGGATGATGATTATGGATTGTTGGGAAGGACGAATGATACCCCCGCAGCAGAAAACCTGCCAACTAAGCATATATTCTCCATAAGAATAACATGGGAATTTTAAATTTACAGTTTTTGAATTTCCTACATTCAATAACCGTACAAAAACACCTATGGTGTCTACAGGGAAATTGGTATTGTTTTGTTTTGAGCGTCAAAAATGAGAAAACACTCTTGAGATAACTTATTGCCATTTTTTAGTATCTACTGAAAGTCAACAGTAGGTACTACAAACCGCAAAGAGTTCGAGTCCTTATTATTTTATCCCTTATCTTTTTCCAGGCTTGATGTTGTTTGTAGCTGTAGATGATGCCATGCCATGGATGATGATGTACATAAGTATTTTTGGTAATAATTTAGAATTTTGTTTATAATAACCTGTTCACATATCGTTACTACCACCATTCATTGATTATATAATGCTACCATTAGGCCGAAGTGGTACTCTATGGCAGCGTTGGAACTGGAAAATAAAATAATCAATAAAAAAAAAAACAAACCCAAATCTAATTCTGTCCTAGTCCTAATTCAATTCCTGTCCTATAGTCTAACGCTAGGCCCTATCCCTAACCTCAAAGGTGTAAAATTGTCTTAGCCTTAGCCTTCAGTGAAAACTGAAAACTAAATTCTTATTTTAGACGATTGTGCTGAAACTGTGTAGGGGTAGGCCTTACTTTTTATATATTTATTTTATTTTGTTAAGTCTAGTAGGTACAGATTTTTAATTTACATGTAAAGTCAAGACGCTGTTACTTTTCCAAAAACCAATCTTAAGTTATCTAAGATGGTAAGTCTATTTAGTTTTTAAAATCTCTTTAGGCTCTTAAGATTTGCCTGATTTTATCTAAGTTAATAACTGTTTTTTTACAATTAAGTTTAGTACGCCTAGGTTAAATGTTATGCTCATAAGTTATTTATAAAAAGTGTTGTGCCATAAAGTTGTATAAAGTGTGTACCTATAAAGGGCTGCACTTTACTTGACGTCCTACACTCATTCGAATGAAAATATCGATCGATATATCGATTAATCGATTGCTTCATTCGATATATCGTTTGGTTAGTTAGGTAAGGTTAACCTAACCTAACTAACCAAACGATATATCGAATGAAAGAATCGATTGAAAATATCGAATCGAAAAAACCAATCGAATGAGTGTAGGACGTCAAGTAAAGTGCAGCCCTATAAAGTTAACCACAACATTTTTCAGTCTGCCACGGTAACGAGACTGTTACCTATCTCAAGTTATTGATTTTTTTCAGCCATTAGAGAAAGTACTTCCTGTCCCTGAGCCTCCTGCAATACAACAATCATTAGAGAATCGTAGACTTTGGATTGGAAATTTAGATGCTTCTGTTAGTGAGTGAGTATTGAACCTCAAAATCCAATCTTTTGATAAAAAAAGTTAGGAAAAAACTAAGGGTGTGTTCATAATTGGCATGATATGTTATGACTTAAGCAATGAGTGATTATTATTTTGCCTTCACATAATAGTTACAGGAAAATAATGGACAGTGGCCCGCTTCGTGTAACTCCATTGCAAAACATGACGTCAGCTTTTGTTGGGGCTACTGTAACTTCTTTGGTAATGACTCCATTAGATGTGGTAAAGACCAGACTTCAAATGCAGCAAGGAAATGTAAACAAATTCTACTTTTATTGTAACGGATTAACCGATCACTTGTGCCCAACCTTACCAAAGGAGGATGTGTGGTATCGCAAGCCAAGCAAGTTTAATGGAACCTTAGATGGAATGTTGAAGATAATTCGACAGGAAGGAATGTTTTCACTATGGTCAGGCCTCAGCCCCACGCTAGTGTTAGCTTTGCCAACTACCGTTCTCTACATGGCTTTATTTGAAGAAATCAAATTTCAGCTGATGGATCACTACAGTCGTGATCGTAAACAACCTCTTTGGATACCATTCTTGTCTGCTTCTACTGCTAGATTTTTTACAACGGTTGTTGCTGGGCCGTTAGAACTGATCAGAACAAAAATGCAAGCTAAACGCATGAGTTATTTAGAAATACACAGAGCAACTCTAAGTCTTGTGCGTTTTAAGGGACTTGGAGGTCTTTGGAAGGGAGTTAGTGCCACTTTGGTAAGGGATATTTCTTTTTCGGGTATATATTGGGTTGTCTATGAATCCTTGAAACAAATTTTAGACAACGAAACAAAACCAACATTCACAAAAAGTTTTTTAGCTGGATCCACTGCCGGAGTGATTTCAGCCGTAGTTACAACACCTTTTGATGTCGTCAAAACACATGTGCAGCTTATAGCTGCTGAAGAAATACTTACCGAGGCACCAACCAAACATAAAATTAGAGTGTTTTCTACAATCTGTAAAATTTGCACACAAAATGGATTAAGGGGTCTTTTTGTTGGTGTAGTACCTAGGACAATCAGAGTTGCCCCTTCGTGCGCGATATTGATAGCTACATTTGAATGTGGAAAAAGATTTTTTCAAGATTATAATAAAAAGATTGAATTAGGAAACTAATGTTTACTCAATGTCAATAAAGTTGTTCTGAATAAATTTTGATTAATTTTACTGTCTGCGCATTTAGCCTAGGCAAAACTCAATGAATCTCTCAAGCTGTCCACTATTGATTTCAGATGAACCATTGGTTCCAAAATGATGAAATGGAAAATGTTCCAAATTACCAACCCTAAGGAATAGGTTGAAAATAGTTTTTATGTTTTTTATTGCAGAAAGTATTGAAACCAGAGGTTCACTAGTTAAAATCTCACAATTATTATAAAATAAAATATATTGATGTTGTATTATATGTAATTTTAAAGCTCTTGTTAATACAAACATCTTGGTGGAATCAGAATTTGACTATTTTTATTCATTAAAAAATGGTGGCTTATTGTGGACAATTTGGCACTACATTTTGAATAGGCTACCTATATTTTTCTTGAAATTATATCTTTATTAAATTATATATTTATCTTTACTCTAATTAAAGTTTTGAATTGGTTATGAGTTAAAAACTTTATTTTGATATTCAATATTACATTAATATTACAAAACAAAACAAAAATTTAAATAGTTAAAATGTGATACAGCATCATGGTCTAAGGCTTTTCATTTTAAAGGTATGGAAACTATAAACTACCTTTATATTCAAGCCTTATCCGTAACTCTTTTAGTTTTTAAGTCATTGACTAAAAGAGATACAGATAAAGTTTAAATTTGAAAGATGCTCGGAATTGTAATAAACTCATAAGGTTTGTCATACATGAACGCTGTATAAATGTCCACTTTTACTGTACGTTAAACATAAACAGATTTATGGCTGAATTATTTACATTGAAATTATTTTTTATCTTAAGAAGTATCGGCCTTGCATTTGCCGGTCCACATGGGCCACTGAGGCCTATGCGTGGAACTTATCTGGCAAAGCATGGGGTGAGCCAGTACAGTACAAAAATGAACTGTAATTATAAAAAATAGTGGCAGGTACCAGGATCCGACCCAAGACATTGCTGACTTTTCCATGGCGCTACCAACTAAGCCACCAACTCACCATTGAATAACCTTTTAGCGTATACCTTTACGTTACTGTACATTACATGTCCTGATCCAGTGCTAAAATGAAAATTTCACTTGAAACTTTTTCAAGGGACTTTATTAGATTTTTTCAAGGGTTTGAATGGAATAATTCGTTTATGGTAGGCCTAGGCCCTATCATTTGATGAAATTATTTATTCCTAGAAATACTTAAAAATACATAAAAAGGCCAAAGAGAATAAGAGCCTTAACTGATCTTCTAAAAATATTTTGATGAGCAATTTTTTTGACCCCCTTTCATCTGTAAGAAACCTTTATTCCAAATCTCATCTCAACATTTTATAGGTAGGGCCTATCTAAGAATTTTGGTTCGTTTCATTATTTCCTTTTACTGTATGTAGTATTGTTATTAACTTTCTCCTTTTATTTATTGACTTAGCAGTAATGAAAATTAGCAGAAATTCTGGAAAAGTTTGGATTTAAAAAAGGACTCTGTAACTTTATAAAATGGAGTACCAGTAAATGCCATGGATTCAAAGAACTTTGACTCGTACTTGCAGTTAATTATAAACTGATATTCTTTTCCTTCTTGGCCATCATCATAGCCTACCAGTCTGTGAAGTATTTTTATGGTAAGTTACAAGGCTACAGTAACTAGATTTTCAGTTAACATTGGTATCCAATTTTCAAAAGTTAATAAATCGATCAATAAAACTTCTCCCCAATACATTGCAAAAATAATGTTCTCAAAATTACCTAATAGTTTAAAGTATCCCGAACCCTGATATAGTTCTTAGCGTGTCTCCTACGGTAATAGCTTCTTCCCAATCTAGGGGTTATTCTCTAAAAACAATGATTTTCAAGCTGATAGAGGGCAAGAAAAAAATAATCTGATTTTCCCTTGGAACCATTGGTTTTTAATTTTCTCATTACGTGCAGTAGTGTTTTTATTCAATAAAATTTAAACCATATGTTTTTATGTTATCATTTCACCCCAGAAAATGCTACATTCAGTAGTAGTAATGAAATAACCGTTACATCCACATGTTAAATTTGTCGCCAGATTTTTAATCAAATTTGTCGTAGTTTATGTGAGCTACCGACAATTTGTAATTTATGTCGAATACACTAACTTTTTTACCAAGTTAAACTGATCTAATAACTTATTTATGGCTATAGCAACTCTGTTATGACTTCTCACCTTGGTCAGCAACAAAAAATAAGATAGAAAACAGAATTTTAGACACTAGCGGTTTATAAGACGGTTAAGAATTTTAAACATTTTTTTTATGACTGGCTCCACATAACTACGTTTCTTTTTTAATAAAAAAATGGCAACAGCTGGTCCATATGGGATACTCCAGTATCCAATCAAAGCCATTACTTAAAGAGTCTACCAATTGAAGTTCTTCCGTTCATTTTAGGCACAACTAATCTTGGCTACGTTTATTTTGTTTTATTGGTATCACCTCCTGAAAACTCTCGAAAAATATGGGCGCCTGGAAAAGTTTGACATGTTGTTTCACCGGACTGGGCCGCTGGCTGGGCAACCAAGGGGTTATGCCTTTGTTACCTACTCCACCAAAGAAGAGGCAGAGCAGATGAAAGAGGCTTTAGATGGGAAGAAGATGGGGAACAAGTACATTGCCGTGCGATGGGCCCACAACTTGAATACGGTAAGCAAAGGATACCTCCTGATAATATATCAAAGGTTCTCTGTGGATCTGTACCCTACTTGAGTGTAATCATTAGCGTTTGGGGTGAGTGGGGGGGTTGGGTACTTTGGTGAGAGGACCAAGGGTCTGTTTAAAACCAGCTGGACAATGGTTTGTTTTGAATAGTGTATAGTATATTTCGTAGCTGGGGCCGAAAATGAGGTTTTGCCGCCTCAAGATAGTTTTTAAGTTTGAGACAAAGTCGAGAACCTACGATCGAGGGCTGCAAAACCATTTCGGCCCGTGGTACGAACGCTATTTTTCACTACACTATACAAAATTTAGAAAATATATACAATAAATGCACACAACTACAATTTTAAGGGTATATGAAGAAATAATTTGAGGGATCAGCAAAAATAATATATAGATGCAAGGCAGCGGTGACAATAAAGTAAGTCTATTGCAATGATATGGATACTGATTGTGTATTTAATATGCATTAATGTTTTAAGAAAGTAAGCTGATTTTCATCCCTAGGGATGTAAAAACCTGCTTCGACAACCAATAGACGACAGCTGGCACCCTGTTGGTAATCCTTGTTACTTTAATGCTATTGAACATCATAGAACAGAACCAACTTGTTTAATTGAAACAGCTGTTAAGATTCATTATTCCTTTTAAATATGAAAAATCATAAGGTTAACATGGGAGACTCCAGAGCCACTGGGGCGGAGCCCGAAAGCCCGATCAGAATAAAAACTACTTAGTTTTCCTATTTAATGCCCAAAGAATCGGTGTACCCAATTTCAGCCTCCTAGGTAAATGGGGAGTGGGAGAATTAGTGATGAGGGAGTGAGGGCTTTGCCTTTTATATATATAGATTTAAGCTTAAAAACAGGGTTATCAGTCACTTTAGCATGTTTTGTACGTTTTATCATTACTTTTTTAGGGACTTATATCCCTACAAGCCACTAGTAAATAATAATTTGTTTTATTCACAAACGCTTTTGGAAACTAGGTGGTTTCCATGATCAAGTAATTATTAAGTAAATATTTATTTTTTTGTACTAGTGTAAACACAGCCTGATGATGGAAATCTAGTTTCTAAAAGCGCTTGTGAATAGAACAAATTATTATTTATTGGCCTTGTTGAACATTAAAATTTGGTTATACATTTCATTCATGATATCTATTTTTCAGGAAGAAAAAGAAAAACAGAAGGTTGAGCTTGATATTCCAGTTTTAACAGGAGGGAAGAATGAACAAAAAGTAAGGTATGTTAAAAAAACACTATTGTTAAAGCATATAATATTGTATAAACACATTTTTCTCCACCATCATCAAATAGTAAAATCACTCACAGAGAGGCATGCAAATCAAATTAATTTGATAGATGTTGAGGTATTATGGTCATTTTATGTAAGTATTTCCAATCAAGTAGGCTTACTTAACAGGTTCAGTCGCAGCCGTCACACTCCCCTGTATGTAAGGCTTCCCTCCACACGGGAGTGAGTGTGTTAAATTAATCCAATATATTTAAACTCAACTAGGATTATCTTGCTGTGATGGTGTATCCCATATTCTAAAGCACAGTGATTTCCGACAACTGTCATTTTGTTTATTGTATAATATACACTTTCTCATGATGGATAGCCTCTGGATCATTAAAATTAGCAGAATATGGTTTATTTTACCTTGCCTAAAATGATCCTGTGTAGTCGTCAAACACGACAGCTGTTTCGTGCTACAATGAGCACATCTTCAAGGTGAAGAAACACAAAATCAAATCATTTAGCCCGCGTTGAGCACGTCAAAAAACACATAAAGTACATGAAGTTCACACAAACACACATATTAAAACACTTGGCCAAGTACCGCGAACACGCTACAATATTCAATGCAATCTATATAATCATAATTGATGGTGTGGTTGGAGGCCTTGAGGATTTTGAAGCCCTCTTTTAAAATGCCATTCAATGAATGTAGTCCTTGGTGGTAGTCTGTGACAAGAGCAATGTTTTGGCTATTTCGTTTTTCATTATTTGGTTGTGGATGGTCTTGCGCTAAGCGGATTTGGTTCTCTACCAGCTTTCTAGGGTAACCCCTTTTTATGAATGCGTCAGATATTTTGTTATTGAACTTGTTTAATTCATCATCGTTGCTGCAGATCCTTTTGCCCCTGATGGCTTGACTGAACGGGATGGATCTTTTGGTGTTCTTTGGGTGGTTGCTGTTAAAATGTAAATATTGTAGATGGTTGGTAGGCTTGAAGTGTACACCGGTTTGTATGAGTCCATCTTGAATATTTATTTCTAGGTCCAGGAAAACTATTGTTGATGTTGAGATGTTGCTGGTGAATTTAAGGGAACTGAAACTGTTAAGGCTGTCAATAAACTGTTTTAAGGAGTCTGAGCCTGAGGTCCACAAGATAAAAATATCGTCTATAAACCGGAACCAACACAAAGGTTGTACTTTTTGGGATTGTAGGAAACATTTTTCGAGTTTCCCCATGAACAGATTTGCGTAGGATGGGGCCATCCTCGTACCCATGGCAGTGCCTTTAGTTTGTAAGTAGTTTCTACCTTCAAATTGAAAATTGTTTTTTTCTAGAATGAACTTAACCATGTTCAGTAGGAAAGAAGTTGAGGGCTTAGTGTTTTTGGGGCGTTGATCCAGGAAAAATTCTATAGCCGCAAGTCCATGTGTAAGGGGGATGTTAGTGTACAGGGAAGTTACATCTATGGTAGCCAAAATCGTCCCAGGAGGAAGAGGTGTTGGTATGGTTGTCAGCCGTTCTAAGAAGTGGTTGGTGTCTTTAACATGTGAAGGCAATTCTCTGACAAAAGGTTGCAGGTGAGAATCTACATATGCCGAGATTCTTTCCGTGGCAGAATTGCAACTGGCAACTATAGGTCGGCCAGGGGGTGGAAAAACGTTTTTGTGTATCTTGGGCAGTATGTAAAATTGAGGGGTAGAGGGGTTGTCATTTATGAGTAGTCTTATTGATTCAGGGGAAATATTTTGGAGAGGTGCTTCTTTAACGAGCCACTGTGTGAGTTCAGTATTAAAATCGTTGGTTGGGTTTTCATCAATCTCTTTGTAGGTGTCTTTGTCGGATAACTGTTTGTAGGCTTCAGCAGTGTAATCTTGTTTGTTCCGATATTTTTATCTTGTGGACCTCAGGCTCAGACTCCTTAAAACAGTTTATTGACAGCCTTAACAGTTTCAGTTCCCTTAAATTCACCAGCAACATCTCAACATCAACAATAGTTTTCCTGGACCTAGAAATAAATATTCAAGATGGACTCATACAAACCGGTGTACACTTCAAGCCTACCAACCATCTACAATATTTACATTTTAACAGCAACCACCCAAAGAACACCAAAAGATCCATCCCGTTCAGTCAAGCCATCAGGGGCAAAAGGATCTGCAGCAACGATGATGAATTAAACAAGTTCAATAACAAAATATCTGACGCATTCATAAAAAGGGGTTACCCTAGAAAGCTGGTAGAGAACCAAATCCGCTTAGCGCAAGACCATCCACAACCAAATAATGAAAAACGAAATAGCCAAAACATTGCTCTTGTCACAGACTACCACCAAGGACTACATTCATTGAATGGCATTTTAAAAGAGGGCTTCAAAATCCTCAAGGCCTCCAACCACACCATCAATTTTTTGAAAGATCCACCTAACATTGTTATATAATCATAATGTTTAATATAACTCCCATACATTTCATGATAGGCTAATTAAAATTTTGATAATATTTCAAAATTAAATTTTTGAACAATTCAATTAATTGATGTCTGAGTGATGAACATGTTAACATAAAATACAATTTATGATTTTAAAATCTTACTTTTAATTTTTAAATTCTTGTTTTTTGAAAGATTAGCTGGGCAACTGAGTGGATCTAATGTTCACCTTGTATCCAGAATGTTGCTGGATTAATCCTGAATAATGAAGAAGTTTTTTGATTGTTTGTACACTGTCCTTAGCTAAGGAACCGGTCAGTTCTAGCAAAGCTTCTATAATATTCATATCACTCATCCTTCACTAACATTTCCTTTGTGTGTAATCAAATCATTGTTATCCCAGAAAAATTTGTTCCAGTCGAACTACAAAAATACAAGCAATAGAGGCGAAGTTGAAAATGATGGAGAGCAACTCAGAAAGTGAATTTCAACTGAACGGAGGGCCGAGCGGTGTTCGATTACATCAAGCTATTAACAGAGGAAGACAAACAAGATCATACCATAAGACAAAAATGTACACAAAACCATACCACCGTAGGTGATTGAACTGTATTCAAAATGAGGATTACCATAATTCATTTTTTATTTTGAATTAACGCTCCTGCCTATCCAAATCTTAAGGCGTGTTTACACCAAAGTTTACAACTAAAAAATTAGAGCAACTATTGGGAGATTTTTTTGGAAAACTAAAAGTTTCACTTCTCTAACTTGAAGCAACAACTGGAAACAACCGACATCGCGACCAGGGTGTGTGAAGGGGCGACAGTTCTCCTCTTGTTTTCAACAAGTTGCTTACACAAAGCGTGCCGCAACATGTCTTTCACTTTTAGAAGTCAACTTTCTAACTTTGATCTTACCGACACTCCACAGCAAACTAAAATTTAGTGCAAGTCTTGTCTATCTACTAGTGGAAGACTGAAAAAGTTACTGTATTTTGTAGAAAAAGCAACTAAGGGAAAAATAGTGGAAGACTTTGGTGTAAACGCGGCTATAAATGTATATAGTGATGGATACAGTGTAAATGTAAGATCATAGACAAATAGAATAAATATAGACTGTCAAAGGAAGGTTACGGCGCCCACCGCTAGGGTTTGCCGTGTAGTTACGGCTCACACCGCTGCAGGCGGGGAGCGCAGGAGCCATATGCGACCAGCAGACGCTGCAGTGGTGTGCGCCGTAACTACACGGCAAACCTAGCGATGGGCGCCAAAACTTCTGCTAACCACAGCACAGCTGACGGTCTATATTTATTCTTTTTGTCTATGGTAAGATACAGGTACTTTTTTATTGTATGCTCAATAGCTGCGATGCCCTGTCCCAAAGTATTCAATTTAGTTTATAGATTGTCATTTAATCATAGTTATATTGTATTCAAATGCCATCCAAGAGAAACAGAATCTAATTTTGAAACTTTGAATTAGGCCTACTTAAAAAAGTTCACTGATCTGTACTATGGATGGTGATGGTACAATAATGTTGTAAAAATGTAAATATGTGGAATGTTTGATAAAAAAATGTGTTTTAAACCTTGTTTTCCTCTTTTATTTAGTACCTATAAACATATCTTATCCAAATAATGAACATTTTTAGCAAACGAACATTACTTACTTAACTAGGTTTTTACCTGGTTTTTACTTAGGTACAAACAAACCAGCAACCTTCATATTTGAAGGCAAGCCCTTTAGCACCTCTTATAACCAGAATTACGGGACTCCTTTTTTCCCACAGTACAGCTAGAAGTTTCAGGTGGAACTGATTTCGCCTTTGCTTAAACAATACATTTATTTACAAAATTACAGACAACTAACTACAAAACATATTAACTTAAAGGGTCCCTTCCTCCCTCATCTTGCGTATGTATTTCCCCCTCATGTGGAAGGGAAGCGGAACAGCTCCCGGACAGGGAATTTGTCCTGGAACTTCACAAATGCAGGCTTTTTCACACATATAGCCGAAGTTGGCAGGATTGTCCTTCTTTTCTCTCGCTTGAGCTTCTGCTTTCAGAACTTCCCTGAAATAAAATATGTTATTATTGTAAGAGCAAAAAGCATGTCCCTAAAGTCAAATATTTTATTATTGTAATAAGCAATACCAGAACGCCAGAAGGACCCAAATTGAGAGAGTTGAAGCTCTGGGGTCAGCAAGCATACTTTTGAAAGAGTACTCGAATTTTAATACCTAGGAGTCCCTATTAACTTGAACAACGAAAGAGGAATAGAAATAGGAGAAAGACTGATTGCAACAACCAAATGTTTCTGGAGCTAATACAAAATTAGTTGAAAAAACTATCTAAAAACACCAAATTAAAATGTTGAGGAAGATTTGTTGACCTATAAATGAAGAAGGTACATGGCGAATAAGAAAATACTGAGAACTGTACAAAGAACCGGACATCGTAGCCATAGTTAAGGAGTAGGTGACTGAGAAAGGCAGGCCATGTAGAAAGAAGGGAAGTATACTGAAGAAGATCAGCAATGGACGACCAAGAGGCACTAGCCCGCTATGAAGACCGAAGCCAGTGGAAAGACCAAATCCAGAAGGATCTACACAGAATGGGGGTAACTCTCGACCTAGCGGCAGACCGGCAGCAGCGGAGGCATCTTGTTGGCGAGGCCAAAAACTTTCTTAGGTGTGAGTGGCCAAGAAGGTAAGCTAAGGTAATAGGCAAAGCCATTATAAAAAGGTATTGAAACCCCACTTTTAACACACACATAGCTGTGGGGTTTTATTCAATCTGTCCATTATTAGTAAGCTAGTAATTAAAAATTCTACGGATTTTGAATTGATCGAAACCATTTGCCTATTTTTATATTGTTTACATAATTTTAAAAATATAAAACTTCTGGAGAACATGCACACGAAAAAGATGGGTAATGTGTAGAAATATGCCTAATCAGAAGTAAAAAGCTCATCATTCACCACAGCCAACCACAGTTTATTCATGAGTGGCCTCTTCTACTTACTCTGCCAAGTGAACAGACAACCAAGATGGAAAACCATCCCACACAATACCATATATCCATATCTAAAAAAAATGCATCCAAAAACAACCATATACACCAATTAACTTACTATATATCATATCATACTAAAAATATGAAACATACTTGATGAAAGAACCTTTGTAATGTTGCCAATTACAAAACTTACTCTGGTTTTCCCAGCACTTTTAAGACATGTGCTAAAATATCTTCTTTTTTCTTACCATCCACATCAATCAGCATGCTTTCATTATTATCTGAAACAAATTATCGAGGAATAATAAAAAGCATATGAAAGAGGCCCTTAAGTTATGTGTCTCACTTTAAGTTTCTGAATTTTAAGATATGTCAGGCGGCATAAGGTGAAAAGAGTGTTGAAGTTGTATTTCTTACGCTTTTTATGTGGTGAACAGACAGAATACTGCTAAGTATTCTATGTGACTAGTCTAATGAAAATACTTAATTAATTTACATACCAAAATAGCAAGTGATGAAGGGTGAAGGAGTCAGGTTTCTAAGAGTGAGGATCTGAACACTCGGGTTCTTGTACTGTAGTTGAGGCAGATACCAAAACACAAATTTCCTGAAAATGCCATACAAATTTTAACACAAATGACAAAAGGCCCAAATCACATCAAATTAATCAATTTCTATTAGCACCATGGCTATTTGATGAGTTAGATAGACCATTAAAAAGTAGATACCTCCAAAGTAATATAGATATTGATATTTGGATCCGATATTATCGTGATATCGATATTAGAGGCTGGAATTGTTATCGATATCTAATATCGATATATTGCTGTTATCGCAACAACCCTAGTTCACTCATCTCCTTTTTTCGTATTGATAGTGATAGAAAAGTTAGAAATAAACACAAAACACAGCTAAGTCAAATATTTTCAGAGGAATAAATTATAGTTGTAGGCAAGAGTCAATAAACATTATTATTTTAATAACTTTAGTACCTAATGTAATATTAATCGAAGCTTTCCAAATCTATCGTAATGCTATGGAAAATTTTTTGTCAAAATTAAAGAAACTAGCAACCATTTTGTTACGAGACAGGATGTTTATTTATAGCCTATCACTGGAGGCTTGAGTCACAAAAACTATCTTGACCTTTGTAGTCGTTAGCCCCCTCCACTGCCCTCCCTACAAGCTGCATTGTTTGTTTACTCCAGCGATAAGACAATTCTAGTTTATGATACAAAAATAGCGTTATATTATACGATCGAGGGCGGATAGGCTAATCCTATTACGATTGCGAGATCCGTTAAGAAGGGGTCTACTGTAATAGTAATTTTAGGTTGTTAAATTATTATTAGGCCTAATGCAAATTTGTAAGAATCAATTACACTGTGTAACTTCATTGGATATTGTTTCTGCTGCCATCATATTGTTAGCATTAATTTTTGTATTGGTGTATCACTGTTTGTTGATAAATAAATGGGTACAGTTTCTTAACTGGGCTATCCTAATATCGATTGAAACTATCAAATTGAAAATGTTGTATAGTAATCGATATTTTTAAATAGCCTATATCTATTATAAAATTAAACTATCATAACCTAACCTAACCAACCAAACTTGCTGATCGTGAAAAAATCACATGAAAGTTTACTAATCGTATCGATAGTTTTAATCGATATTAGCATAGCCCAGTTAAGAAACCCCTATAAAGTTAGCCTACATTGCAATTATGAGAACAACTTTGTGAAGCAATCACAAACGTTTTTAAGAGGAAATAATACACTATACGCTAAATTTTTGCAGTGCAGTTCCCATACGGAACTACGACTAGCCTAACCCTCCGAGTGTTATTTGCCGCTGCATCGACACATAACACACTTTGTGTAGTGTTTTGTGTCGCTGCAGCGACTCACAAACACTGTTTACGGCGAAGGCTCTATGACTGACAAAATCGGATTGAACTGGATAGAGTTAGGTATTGTTTTATTTGACAGATTCAGAGCTTTCTCCGGAGGTCTGTCTCTAAGCGCTTTTCATTTTAGTTCCGAAAATATTGTAGCAGACAGCTGACATGTGTATTTGTAAACAGCTTGGTTAACCTCGCACCGATGACTGATGTGTTTTATTACGTTTATCATTGTTTTAGTGTTAAAAATCAAAAGTAGTGATATACGTGGTGCATTATAAGAAGATTTAAGTGATTTTGAAGGGCTGGTTGATGATCCTGAAGAAGTAGGTACCTAGTGATATTGGTGTAAATTATCAGCCAGATTCCTAGCTATGGTTAGGCTAAGCATTCTTAGCTAAACGCAATGTACTGAAATCTGTTTTTTGCCCATAACTTATTTATTTGCAAATCTACTTCCTTATATTATTATATATTTTTAATCCTCATAAAAATTTTTTCAAATATTTATAGGCCTATAATTTATACAATTTCATTGAGCGCACTTTTTTTTTACCTAAAAAATTTTTTTGAAACAAATGTTTCTTATGTTTTATGTATAATATTGAAACCCATGATTTTCCAAACAAAATGGTATATAGAACAGTATAATTAACATTGTTTTCAAGCTTCTCAGATCCGTTTTAATGAAACCTTGCAAATGAGCAAAAAATAGGCAGACATTAAGGCCAAAACAAGGGACACTCGGAGGGTTAAGTGAATTAGGCCTAACAACTTGTAGAAAAGCTATTTTAGATGTTAACAAAACTAACCTGGCACCTTCATGATGATCTCCTTTAGTATTGTAATTAATGCAAAATATTTGTAAGGAATCTTTAAATAGTACTTTGCCAGCCTCTAAATACTTTAATGTGTACCGAATCGGTTCAATACCTTTCATAAACGGCATGTTTGGTTAGTTTAATTACTCAACCTCAACAATTTATCAGTTATCAACAACAGAACTCTCTCGTAAACATAACCTAACAAAACTTTATAATCCAAATCCTTATTTCTTACTTCTGTTCTGTAATAATTCCAATAATCCACCCCGGTTGGGGAGATTTTTTTCTTTATTTTTTGAGCCGATGGCTAGGCTATTTAAAAATTCATGCAGCCTTGAGGTACACTAAATACTAAAAATGTGGTTGCTTCCTGTAGTAAAACTATAACTAGATAAAACATCCTCCTTGAGGATTATGTTTTATCCATATAAAACATACTCCTCAAGGAGGATGTTTTATCTATGGTAAAACTAATTAAATTAATAAATTATATTGAAATTGACTTGATTAGATTAACTTCGGCATTGGGATTCCAATATTTGTTTTATTTTCTTTCGATTTTTCTTGGAACTGGAACCATTCTGTCTTGCTATTTGCTCGTACTTTTAACACTGATTATTCAATTGGCCGTTTATTTTATTCACTAAGATGTGATGTTCCTCAAACTTGGGTACACTTCAAATTTTGTCACGAATTTTAGTATTCAGAAATTAGACCGAATACACAAGATAGAAAAAAAATGGTACCTAAATTAGAATTATATAGG